TATTATTGTAATAAAAAGCTTTAAATCTTTCTCTGAGGATCAAGTGGCTGTCTCCTGATCTCACAGTCACAATTCACCCAGGAGATGGAGCAGGAGTGGAAATAGGTGATAGTCTACTCTTTTCATCCCTTGCCACCTTTGTACCTTGAGAAGTTCCTTCAGGCTGGCACTCTTGCCATAGCACAGCCCTTTGCTGACAGCTCTACCCTGGACACTGTCCTATGCTTAGAACTGTCTTCTCCAAACTCTCTGCAAATGTAATTTGTGTTCATGGATAATCGAGGATCAGAGAGTCTCCCCTTCCTACCAACATTGGCATTTTTATAGGAATCTTTAATGTCTTAATTCAGGTAGACTAAGGGAAGAACTACTTCAGGTACTGTCAGAGGGAACATATATTTGGGCAGGGGAGATATCTCTTAAATTTCCCACAACAAGCACAAACATATGTGTGTGTAAGTCTGGCACTGTCCCATTCCCCAGCATGTGGAACAGCCAGACTAGCAAATAGCATAGAGATGGAAAAACACATTGTGCTGGGTGTTAGAAAGCCCTGGCTCTTAGTCTCATCTGTGCCAAGAATTGACTGTGTTCCCTCAGGTAAGTCCCTCCCCATTTTGGGTTTCCCTTTTCTTATCTGGAATATCATGGGATGGGATTAACTAGCTGGTATTCCTTGTCCTACAACTCTCTAGAGACACTTACAGCTCTCCAGCTGCATTGTGCAGGTCTGGATGTCCATAGGGAAGTTCTTGAGGTCCATTGGGCAGGACAAAATGAGAGTCAGCCTGGTGAGGACAATAAGAAAGATGTGTCATTGGCTTCTGGGGCCCCCCACAACAGAGGGAACCCTCTTCTCACCCATCAACCTCAAGTTGGCTTCTTCCCCTTGCTCCAAACCCTCCTGGCTATTCATCAGGTGCACCTGATGCTGTAGAGCACATTCCCATTCTTGAAGATGCGCAGTAACTTGTTGTCTGTGGTCACCTCATGGAAGTTGGCCCCTTTCTCATTAGCAAAAAACAGGTCTGGCTTCCAGATGGAGTCCAGCATGGAGGGATCAAGGTCCAGTGAGTCATCAGGATACTCTCGATAGGCCAGGCGTGGGTCATTCCACTGCTGCCGCAAGAAGACATTCACCCGGTAGTCCTGGGAAGGGGCAGAAATGGGCCCATGAGTGGTGGTGCTATCCCCAGGGGCCCAGCAAACCTACACGGGCAGGAGGGCCATGACGAAGAAATATTAGGAGCACGTTTCAGGGGCTATGGGCATTTTCCACTGCAGAATGGACTTGCCTTGGGCTGATGTGGCAAAGATGGGAGGGAATAAGACATTTATTAAACACTCCCTATGTGTTAAGTTCTCTGCTAAGCACTTTCTTTATATGATCTCTCATCTAAATTTCACACCAACTCTATGAAGAGGGTGCTGTTATGTTCCCTATTTTATAGATGAGGAAACTGAAACAAAGAGAAATTTAAATAACCCCCCTAAGGTCACACAACTATTATATGGTAGAACCAGGATTTTAACCTGGGATTCTCTGATTCCAAAGCCTGTACTCTACACCAAGAAACCTCACATATTTGACTAGCTGCTGCTTAGGCTTGTCTGTCTTTAGCTACATAAGACTGGGGCTTGGGGAAGATGACCTCTGAGTGACTAACTTCAGACATTCCATGACTTTTGCTATGACCACAAAGGAGAGGGAAGTAGGAGCAGGAGATGCTTGCTATCTGATGGGCTTCTCCCATTCACCCTAGAGTGGAAACAAGGAACAGAGAGATCCCTTACCATAGTGGTCTCGGTGACAGAGCCAAAACTGTTGATGAAGATATTGCAGGTCACGTTCACGGGTGGGCCTAGAGGCAGCAAAGCATAGCCCATTGGCAGAGTATTCCAGCAGGCTGGTAGCAGATCCCAGGACTCCTCCTTCCAGAGCTTCAGACCAGGGAGAAGGAAGTGCCAGCTACATAGGCCCCAGGAGCAATGGGGAAGGGTGGCTCCTGAGCTATAAGAGCTAGCTTTGTTCCTCTGGCCTTCTTTCCTTGGGGCAGGAAATAGGGGCTGGGCTGGGGAAGGCTTTATTTGTGGTAGGATGAATGTTTCTTACCTTTAAAATTGGGCCGAATCCTAGCATCATATCCAGATGTTCGCCCCATAAGCTTGTCCAGAAAATCAGAGGGGGACATGGGCTGTGTAACACCCTTGGTCTCAGATTTGACTTCTTCTTTACCCAAGGCCACCCTGAACAGAGAGATAAAGACATCTGAGACCAGTTGTATTTTACATTTGTCACAGAGCCCTCCGCCTCCATCCCTACTGACCTCTGGTTGATCTCTCCTGATCAGGCAGGAAGATAGGAGAGGATGGGTGTCTGGGTGCTCATTTCCCAAAAGAGAACAGAAAGAGCCATAACCCTATAGTGGAGTGCACCAGTTTGACATAGTAAAGTGCTTTGATATATATTATATCTTTTTTACCCTCACAGTTCTCAAAGTGATACGGATGAGAGCTGGTATTTCATTTTACAAATGAGAAGACTGAAGCTTCCAAAGGAGGAGAGACTTGTCCAAAGTCTCAGACTAGTGAGTGGCAGGGTCAGGACACAAAACCAGGGCTGAAGCCTCATCCAGTGTTCTCTTTCTGAAGGTGCCTTGAAAGCCTTCAGAGAAGAGTGACGTCTCACTAGAAATAATATGGCTGCTGCAACATTTTGCCCGTCTGGCCTATCCAAGAATGAGAGGCGCTCTTGGACAACCTGCATCCCTGAGAGTTGATATCAGTTGCTTAGGCTTCATGCTGGGGTGTTTAGGATCTAGGACTCCGCTTCTGGGGAGAGAGGCTTGGCTTCCGGCACTTGCTCCAGCAGGAAGCTCTGTTGTGAGCTGGACCTTAGTTCAGGATTGTGGCAGGTGCCGGCAAGTGAATTCATTTTGACAAGGAATTAGGTGGAGAAGCAGGGCCCTAGGAGCACGGGAAAGCCTCCCAGCAGGGTGGCCATGCTAAGAAGGTCAGCTCTCATCTTTTCCCTAACAGCTTGACTTTGAGGAGGGAGCCTAACCTAGAAGCCAGTCCCTTTCTCCCCGATTAGTCTGTTCCATCTCAGAGCAGCAAAGGCCCCTTCCATATGCCTGCTTACCTGCTTACCAGCCAACAGATAGACCATGGACCAGGGGCTCAGCCAAACCTTGAGGATTAGGATGGGGCTCAGGGCAGAGCTTAGTCGGTTCTCCCGGCTGGGCCATTTGCCTCCTGCTCCATCCTGCCATGATCACTGCGGCAGGCACTAGAGTCAGCTCCACCACCACCACTGCTGCCACTGCACCATAAGGCTAGGAAGCAGGATGAGTGCTGTCCTTCTGGGTCCTAGTCTCCTCTGAGCCAGTGGGCCCCTCCTTCCCAGCAAGTTCATGCACCAGCCAGTGACCGATAGATTAATAAAAATAGCTAAGGCACCCTGCTATTTAAGGTGCACTTTACTCATGCTGTTGTGTTACTTTCCACATCAATCTTCTCAGATAAATATCATTATCATTCTCATTATGTAGATGAAGAGACGGAGGGTCACTGAGGTGAAGTCACTTGTTCAGGATAATACAGCCAGTAAGTGGTAATATCAAGATTCGAACCCAGGGCTACTGGACTTCAAAACTAAGTCCATCTATCCAATACATGATGGAAGTAGTCCAGGGTGGGCTGCTAATCCAGAGTGAGGGAAGGTCAGTGACAGTTCCTCCTTGCCTAGAGTACTACCTCCTTGAATTAGCTACATAGGAGGAAGCCCTTCCCCTGGGGACAGAGGCCACCCTGGCCCCAGGTAGGGCAGCAGGCCTGGGCTGCCAGAGCAGGTGGCCTAGACAGGCTCTGAAAATCCAAGGAGGCTTGTGATGGTGCTGGAGCAAGCAGAAGTTGGTGGCTTCACCACAGGGTGTCCACACTGGCCAGGTGCTGCTGCAGCTGCTGCTGGCCACCTGCCCGCCCGCCTGGAGGCCACGTGGAGCAGCCACTGTCCTCAGCCTCAAGCTCAGGTCACCTGTCCTGTTAGCCCCAGCCCCAGGACCCTGAGATAGACTGTGAGTCCAGCAGTCTTGGGCCCCAGGCCCTGTTGCAGCCCCTTTCTTCTGGGGCTGCCTTGTCTGACAACCTGAGAGCAGAGTCGTGGCAACCACTCTTTCTTCCTTTTCATTCCTGGAAAGCCCCAAATACTGGCAGGACCTGGGAGGCTCCAGACCTGAAAATCCTGCTTTAGCAAACAAAGTCTTGGGGTGGGCTAGGGGGAGAACTCTGACTCTGCCATTGAGTACCTGAGTGACCTTGGACAGATCAATCCCCCTCTCTAGGCCCTGGTTTCCACCTGTATGATGAAGGACTCGGACTCCAAGGGCCCTTCCTGCTCTGACTGCCTCTGGCCTCCAAGCCAAATAGGGATACTGCAGTGGGGAGCTTGTATCAGTGAGGCAGCCTTCCCTCCAGGAGGGCTAGCAAGCCCCAGCTGGGTGCCCCCTTTTTCCTGCTTCCTCCTATCAACTCCAGCTGAGCTGTCATTCCACTTTGCACTGCGTATCACTCTTAAGAAGTTTCCTGCCTCACATTGCATCCCTGCCTGCCTGCCTGCCAGCCAAGGTGTCTGTGGACACTGGGACAGGAGGTTCCTCAGAGGCAGGCACCCCTGGCGTGCTTCTTGAATTCAGAGGAGGGGCAGGATGTCCTGATGATAGTCACCCCACCCCCTACTCTTATGACCAGTTCAGCCCAGGCCACAGCCATTTTTCTTGCTCAGCTCATTCTGTCAACCTACGCTGGCTCCTGGTCTAATGAGAATGTGGGAAGGTATGGGACATTGGGAGGGGAGGGGGCAAAACATGTATTGCCTCCAAGCCAAGGGAATGACTGCAACTTAGTGCCCCTTCAGGGACACTTAGTAACTGTGCATGCACAGGCAGGGTGATTGCAGAGGGCCAAGGCTTGGCCACCTTAGCTCCATCCTCATGTCTTCAGGTAAATCCTGGCTACTTGAAGCCTCCCAGGCAGGCAGCTGACAGACGTTGCTGTCATTTTTAGGGAGCTGAGCAGCGTACCCAATCTGGTAGGGAGACAGAGTTGGGTAACGGGACAGTTGGCATCCCTTTCTGGGTTCAGCTACCTACCTACCCCCTACTCAGAAGCTCCCACCCATGCAGAAACCTTTCCACTAACACCGGCCTTGACATGCCCAATGGAAAACTCCTGGGTCCTGATTGGAGAGGAGCTGTCCTCCCCTGGAGCCCCTCAGACTGTGGTCTTTTGTAAACTTAAGGGAAACTGCTAGGTGCCCCTGGCCGCTTCTGGCCAGGAGACTCCAGTGTTCCGCATGCACCACCTTCTTAGAACCCCCACTCAGCTCACCTGAGGAGGACCTGCCCTGGCAGGGTCCAGAGGAGAAGGAAGGAGAGGGTTACTGGAACAAGAGCTGTCATTCCGCGGGGACCGTGGAGACCTTCCTCAGCCCGGCTGCCAAGGTGAGGGGGATATCCCAGCGGGAACAGCAAAAGTATAGAGCCTTCCTCCAACTTGGGCTGCTCAGCTCGGAGCCTGCGGGGCCAGCCGGGCTGGGAGTTGCACGCGCTCTCTCTCTTCTTCTGCTCTCTTTTCCTCTGCCCTGTCTTTACCAGTCAGGGGCCAGAATTATTCCTCTGGAAATGATCCTGACACAGATAACCCTACCGGCTCCTGCTTGGACTTGCCTGAGGCTTTGGAGGGCCTCAGCGGGCTGGGGAGCTGAAAGAGATGCTTTTTGGGCAGCACTCATTCTCCAAACCCTGGAGGATCTTGGAGGGGATGGAGGAGGGAGACTGGTAGGAAGATGTTTTCCCTCCCTCCCACCTCCCCCCAGATGCACCCTCCAAAAGCAGCAATTTAAAGGCACAGTCGCTGGCAGCTGGAGTGGGGTTCCAAAGCGTGTCCGTGTGCCGGGGGAGGAGCTTGGGCTGCCGCTGCTGCTCCTGGAGGGCCGGAGGTGCTCTGTCCAGCGTGGAACTCTCCAGCGGGAGGAGTCCTCGCAGGCTGCCCTGCTTCCCCTCTCCACCAGTTTTCCTTTTAGCTCGGAGCCCAATTGGGGCCAAAGAGTCAAGCCCTAAAGATTTTTACAAGGGGGATAAAAGACCTAAGAAGGGTTTAGGCGGAGAGCCACTGGGTATTGTCAAGCTGACCAGATTCAGGTCTGAGAGGAGGAGGAGGCAGAGAAGGGAGTGGAGGAGGAGGCCGTGAGCAGGGATAACTTTCTCCTAACCCTCTGGACAGAGGCACATTGGAGGCACATCCATGGTACAGAGAAACTTAGAAGCCCTCCTCCCATGTGGTTGGCCTGCTTGTCAATCTGCCGGTCCATCTGTCAGTCTGCCTGCCCCTATCCCCTTCATCCTTATAGCCGCACATTTGTTCCCCACCCCTGCCTGCTTTCCTCCCTCAGGTCATCTCTGGGGAGGCTGGTCTGCCCTGTGTAACTCTAGAAATCCCTCCTCCCCAGCTCCCTTTCCCCACCCTGGCTCAAGGGAAGAGAGAGGTGTCGCTGGCAGGGGCAGGGCAGGGCTGGGACACAGCAGGCTTTGTAGGCTTCCGTGGATGGAGGGTGGCAAACAACAGAGACCTAACCTCAGGGAGAGCCCCAGAGTAGCATCTTTCCTGTAGAAAAGCCCCAGTGGCCCTCAGCCCTGGATGGAGGAGGGAAGCAGGGAAGGAGGGCTCACCTCTTCACTGCCTTCTGCCATTTGCTTGAAACATCCAGGTGCAGCAGCTGCTCCCTTTTCTCCTGCCAAACCCTTCCCCAAACTTTCCCCCTGCATCGTCTAAACAGCTCTGGAACTTGCCCAGTGTCTCTCCCTCCCTCCCTCCGCTTTTCCCTCCTCTTTCTCAGCTCTCTTCCTTTCTTACCCTCTCTCCCTGAAGCTTTCCTTCATCTATCCTTCCTCCATCTCCCTCCCCATGGCTGCTAATCTATCCCTCCTGGTTTCTTCTCTGTGTCTCACCTTCTGTGTTTCTCTCCCCTTTTCTTTCCCACTCACTTTATCTTCATCCCCATTTTCTCTGTCTCACTCTCTCCCCCTAAATTACAACAGTGAGAAGCCAAGGGCTTTCATTTCCTCTTCAGTGGAAACTCATGCCAGCTCTGCTGAGTTCTGAGTGTGTGCTCAGAAAGGGTCTGTGCCACTTCACATGGGCCAATTCCAGAGCAAACTGCAGCCTCCCCTAACCTTTCCAGAGACAAATTTGTGGGCACCAGAAGCCCTTGTACAGGACCCATTGGTGGTTTAGAGGGATTAGTAACAAGGCAATGATGGGTGGAATTTGTGCTGTGTCTCCCTTCTGGCTGTATTGTTATTAAACAGGAATTTTCAAACCACAAATGAAAGGAAAACAAGGGAATAATAAAGAACACACACTAAAATATTGATGGGGAAACTGGGCTTTTGGAATTGGGACTGGGGTCATTACAAGTCTCAAATAGCATCTATATGCCCAGTAAGTGCTAACTACTAAGGATCTTAAAGAATCTTAACAACACAAAACAAAACAAAAAACACCTCACTGCCCTCCAGTCGGATCCGACCCCTCCTTGGGTTTCCAAGGCAGTATCTCTACAGAAGTAGATCGCCCAACCTTCCTTCTGGAAGTAGATTGCCCAACCTTCCTTCTGAGGAGCGGCTGGTGGGTTTGAAGCGCCAGCCTTCTGGTTAGCAGTCAAGTGCCTTAGGCGCTATGCCACCATAGAATCTTTAGTGGCCCTCTTACCTGCCCATCCTCCTTCCTCTTTTCCCTTAATTGTCCCAATCCCCACTCCCTGAACAGAGACAGAAACACAAAGAGAGCCTTACAGAAGCTCCAGGGCAGAGTTCCAGGTTGGGGAGCTAAGGAGTGGTTGGTGAGCACTTGTCTCTTGTGTTTGACTCATGTCATGGTCCCTGCCTCTGCTCCTCCCATGAATACATCTAGAGTTGCCAGCCTGTCTCTCTAGCTCGCAGGTAATTTCACATACTGTTCTCTCAACCCAAAACACTCTTCCATTGCTCTTACTCTTCGCTCTTCAGCCCCTGCCCCATGAAGTTTGCAGTAAGGAGACCCTCCAGTGTGTTTCCACAGGACTCCTGCTTTCTCACTTCACAGCACTGGTTATACTCTGTTACACTTTCTGGTTTAATTGTCTCTAGTCCCCACTATAGCAGGAGCTTCCTGACAGCAGAAACACATCGGCCACCCATGGCCTAGCCCAGAGCATGGCACAATAGAGGCAAGTAGTGAGTGTTTGTTAAATGATGCATCCTGAACATCCAGAGACACTTCCTCAAGTTCAGTATTGTTAAAAGCCCCTATAGCTCTTTCTCCATCAAAGAATGATCAGCTTGACACTTGGAGAGAGGGCCAGAGTGAGGTAATGGTAATAAGGAGAAATAAAGATCCGATTTTCATTCCCTTGCCCTGTAGGCTTATGGCCTCACACTCAGTCTTCTGGAATTCTCAGCTAATAGAAGGCATAGGCCCCTGGAGACTAGTCCATTGTCTCAGGTCTCACCTCCTGTGTGCCCCATGGGAACCCTGAGTGCTGAGAGCATAGCAGGGTCAGGCTCCTGGGATGAAAGGTCTCTTCTTACCAGAGGCTGCAGCAATGACCAAATGTCTGGCTGGCATGATGCAGAACTACAGCTTTTCAAGGGTTCTGGGGATCCAGACTTTTCAGGTGAAGAAGGGAGGAAAGGGAGGCAAAGAACTGGGGAAACTGATGCTAGGTATTGACAAGAAGCAGAGGAGATGCCCATTCAAAAAGCCCCCTGTACCAACTGGAAGCCACACTCTCTAAAGATGATGATCTCAGTATCTTCTAGTCTGAGAAGGGTACAACTTGTGTCCAGACTCACCTTGTTTCCTTTTATTGCTCTCTTTATGAAACTAAGATGTATGTTAATCTCCAGGTTCCAAAATGTATCGCACCCTTGTCCTGTGGCATGACTGGCTGCCACATTGACCTGAAAACTGCCTGTATTTCAGAGCTGAAGATGTGTAGAAGCTATAATACACCAAGTGTTTTTCAGGATGAAAAGGTATTATTTTGTCATGAAAAACTACTTGGCTGTTAAAAATGGATTAAGCATATTTCCATAAATGTTTCATTTCAGGAAAGAGTCTGTCACATTTCAGCCCTACGCAGGGAAAATTGCAATTGCGCTCTCCTGTCAAGGAGGTTTCTTGACACCTCGGTCTGAGGAGCGGGAAGTCTGTGTTGGAATGCTGTTGTAGTTAGGTGCCAACAAATCAATTTCTATTCCTAGGGACCCCATGTGACAGAGTAGTACTGCCCCATAGGGTCTTGTAGGCTATGATTTTTGTAAGAGCTTATTGCCAGGTTTTTCCTCCCATGGGGCCGCTGTGTGGGTTCGAACTGCCAACATTTTGGTTAGTAGGTAAGTGCTCAACTCTTGTACCACCAAGCCTCCTTGTATTGGGATGGGTGTTGTTTAAATTCAATGGCTTCTTGGGCTAGATTTTGAGGGCTAAGTGTGAGAATCATTTGACATACCATCTTGGACCCAAATGCAATTACCCAGGATAGTATGGACTCCATATAGCCTATCCTACTTACTGAGGCAAAAAGTGGGCCAAGGGTACCTCAAAAAGCAGGCTCTGTCCCTAAACTGAGGAATTTTCCAGAGCTTTAGCTACTTTCCAGAAGCATTGGGGTAAGAAGTTGGGAGGGGGATGAAATAAAAGACAGATGCCTTTTAAAATTTTTGCTGATGAGGACTGGGGAGTTTCAGTTGGATCTCCAAGGAGCAAGCCTGCATCTTTTTGCTGTGTGTGAGTTTTTCTTTTCAGGGTCATTTTCAATTTCCAAGGATGTGATAGTTTACTCAAAAGTGGGGGCTCAACTTCTGGCATTAAGGGAGCATTGCAGAGAGAGGTTGGAAGCCCTTTAGCCCCTCGGACTTAAGGAGATGATGCACAGCCTGTGTGGGGGTGACAGTGGTGATGGGAGTGTCACAGTCATAGATTAGGCTGGAGTGAGGAAGCAGAACATTAGACATGTTCAGTGGTCTTCTGACTTTTGGAGAGTGATTGGTCCAAATCCAATGTTTAAAAGATTTGGCTTCTTTCTTTTTATGAAGTATCTCAGGTGTGGGTTTTGCAGGACAATCCTGGAGAGTCTAACCTTGGGAAGGCCCACGGAGAGGTTAATTGAGCTCTCCCGATCCCCAAAGACAGACCACGTATCAACACCAGGATAGCACCCTTCAGCAGTGGTCCTGCTCTGTTGTTGAGCTTTCTGTGCAGTATCCAGAGGACAACAGAGAAGTGGGAATCCAGCTTGGGAAGGTGCAGTAACAGCCACTCAGGTAGACTTCATTTCTCCCCTGCTGAACATTCAGAACCCTCACTCATCCCATCAGTGTCTGGAGAGTAATTTATAAGTGTGCAGAAGAGTTTCCTT